TTTGATGTTAATGGAATATGAATTTGTTTAATATTAGTCTAGTTTGGTGTTTTGCTTGATTTTTTCTCATAGAAAGGACACTTAAGTCTTAAATGCCTCACGCACATACGCCCCCACGCGATCATACATACTCTCGATCATATCAGAGGCCACCAAGATCTCCGACTTAGACAATTCCGCGCCACGTTCCTTAGAGCATCTCCAATGATTTTATGTCTACTAGTATGAATCTCGTGCATCGCACGGGTAAGAGATATTTGTTAATATTTATAAATTAAAAATATTCATTAAATAATATTTATAAATAAAAAATATAGAATCAATATGTAATACAATTTACTTATATTAATTTATCAAAGTTGTTATGTGAAATTTAAATTGTGAAAAATTACATAAAACATGTCTAGATCGAAAATTAGTACATAACTCGTACGGTGGACCTGACTGATAATAAATATATTGTATTCATTTCGAAATAAGTGTCATTTTAAATTTTTATTTAGAAATTCGATTTGACTACAATGTGATTCCATAAAATAATCATTTTTGCAAAAATTCCATAAAATAATCATTTTTGCAAAATTTTATCATATATCTAAAAAATATAAAAATAATCTAAAATAAATAAGATTATTTCACGTATTCTGACAAAATAGATTCAAAAAAATATATTTTGTCAATTTTAAAATAACTTTTCTATTTACATTAAAAAATATAAAAATAATCTAAAATAAATGAGATTATTTCACGTGTTCTGACAAAATAGATTCAAAAAAATTTATTTTGCCAATTTTTTAATAATTACTTAATTCTATTTCACAATAACAATTGTGTATAAGAATTAAATATTTGTTTGTATCAAAAAGTTTTGTTACTCACAAAGAAAAAAAAAAAAAGAGAATATTTTATGGAAAAGTGAAGTGAAAATTCACAACAAATAAAAAAATAATTTATTATATGCACTAATGCAATTTCAATTATGACATGGAGCTATATATCACAAAGTCCCTTATAGGGAAGTCTAATTGTGAATTGAATAATTTCACCACATTTTTTACGAAATATGTGATGTATAATACTCTTACTTTTAGACTACATTAGTTTTTGACGTTTTAGTTAGAAATTATTTATATTTGTTCAAATAAAAAGTCCTAGTAAGCTTGAGTGTCAACTTATTACCCTGTTGGGATCAGACACTCGGATATTATCCTGTTGGGGTTTTTTTAGTTTTGTAGTTTTTGTGTTATTGTTTTCGTGTCAGTAAGTATTACCCCGTTGTGGTCGACTCTAGGCGGTCTTTTGATTGTCCTCCCACTTTATTCAGCTATTGGCTGTTTGTATTCAGCTGTGAGTTGTTTGTATTCAGCTGGTGGCTGTACTTTTATAAATTTATGTGGTTTATATATAATATCTCTATCGTTTCGGAAAAAATAAAACACAAAGTCGGAGTTTATTTGCAGATGCGATAAAATCAATTATTAAGTACTTCGACCACCCTCGTCTCTCCCCATGACCGCAGTCGGCTACTCAACCTGGAGAATGATAATGTATGGGGGTGAGCAACTACAAGCTCACCGTGGGAAAATTACGCAATTAACCTGTATAATAACAGATATCATAATTTTTGGCATGATATGAACCACATAAGTCTCATTGTTCTCAATGACTCCATCCATCAGCCGTCTCATGTGTACACACTTTTACCGTCGGATGGACGTCTCATATGCACTCAATGACAGGTAGGGGTGTTCATCGGTCGGTTCGGTCAACCGACCGAATCGAACTACAAAAACCAAATTAACCGAATTTTTAAATTTCAAAAACCAAACCGACCGAAATAAGTACCTAAAACCGAAGTACAACCGAACCGAATTGCTCTCTCGATTCGGTCGGTTAACCGAGTTTTCACAAAAACAATTTTCTTGGGATGAGAAAAAATTCAGCAAAAAACAAATGAAGACGAACAATACAATTCAGGAAAAATTCAGCAAAAAACAATTTTTACAAAAAACAATTCAACATAGTTCTTATGTAAATAAAAGAGAAGAAACTTCTGATGTTCTCCCAAATCCCTCACAATTACAGATCCACAAGGACCAACAATACAAGTCTGACAGAAAAAAATAAAATAAAATTGATAGACGAAATGACGAATCCATAAATGAAGATTCCTCTTGAACTTAACGAAATAGACGAATCAAAGATACGACGACCATAAATGAAGACGCACGCAGCTACTTGAACGGAGAAGACGATTTGGGGGACGATTTAGGGCGGAGAAGCAGCAGCGACGACGGAAGATTTAGGGCAGCGGCGGATTTGGGGAAGAGACGAGGGAGAGGAATGACCGAGTGAGTAGGGGCGAGATTCTGAGTGTGGTTTATCTGTATTCTGATTCTGTATGTTTAGGTCCTTTAGGAATTATTAGGGTTGAAATATTATATTATAATATATCATATAATAATATATATTAATATATTATATATTATTTAGTCGGTTCGGCTTTTTCGGACATTTTATGTCCGAAACCAAAACCGACCGAAAGAACTGAAAATTTAGAAATTGAAAACCGACTACCGACCAAGTCGAACAAAAACCGAACTGAAATGGTCGGTTCGGTCGGTTCGGTCGATTTCAGTCAAACTTTGCACACCCCTAACGATAGGAGCTCACACTGTATGTGCCACACAGTCAATCTGCCACACAGTCAAATGCGCCACAAAGTCAATGCGCCACATAGTCAATGTGCCACACAGTCAAATTGGGGAGAGGTTTAGGGTTTGGATAGATTACCCACATTTGGTAATATTTTCCGCAAGAAAAGAAGAGTGCTGGCTCGCTTGGGGGGAATCCAAAGAGCCAAGGAAAATGACTCAGAGTTTGGATAATCTGGAAAAAAGATAGTAACGGGAGGCTTACATGATTTGGGAATTTTGGGATTACTTCATCTTTTTCATTTTTGAATATGTTGTTTTTTTTTTTAACAATTCCACGTATTTAATGTAGTCACACTCAGTAAACTGCAAGTTCCACGTAGGTATACCTAGCCGAACACGCTGTCATTTTTCGAACGTCCGACGAATTTAAGGTTCGTTTTGCAAAAGTACGACAAGGTCAAGATTATATTGCAATTATCTAAAAGTTTGGATTAAATTGCCAAAAGCTGAAAGGTCAAGGTTTAAATAGCATTAACCTTTTTTTTTTACACTTCCTAATATCTTTGGTGAATAAATAAATTAACATTTAATATTGAAAAAAATCTACTTTTAACATTTGAAAAGTATGTCAATTTTTTTGGACACTCCCAAATATTTTTTGGTGAATAAATAAATTAACATACAACATTGTATTTTAAATCATTAAATAGCAACATTTCAGTTTAATTAAAATCGTGATTCATTTAGTTTGAGTAAGCCAAAAATTATTTTAATAAATCGACTCGTATATTAATTTTGTTAGTGTCCAACAATGTATATCGCAAATTGAAAAAATCCCATATATTTATCTGATTTTTTGAAGTTAAATTTCATAACATGATATAACCAAATTAGATCAAATATTTTTTCACTATCAGATTAAACAATTAATTGTAGGGTAAAAAATTATAAAAATATTAATATTAGTTCTCCGACAACTGCAGATTATATTTTGTACTTAAAATATTACAAATGATTATAAACAAAAAATCCATAAAATCTGTCATATTCACACATTTCAAATATGGTTGACATAATAAAAAATTATGGATATTTTCTCAATCTATCTATTAATATAAAAATAGACAACTAGTGAGTATCCCGTGCGATGAACGACGGGCTTGTTTCTTAAAACATTTTTCAAAAATTTTACTTTAACAATATATTATCTTACAAACTATTTATATTAATAAAAATAATATTTTAACATCTATATTTATTTTTTGATATAGAAAAAATTATAATGTTACTTATTTCTGTTAATCATAATACTCAGCTGTTATTTTTTTTTCTAAAATTTATTGTCATATAATGTCATATTACTATTATTTATAACACTTATAAAAGTAGTATTCTTTATATATATAATGATGAATGTTTAATATAAACTAATATTATTTATTTATGCAATTAATTTAAAATTATTTAAACAAATTTAAAAGCATGTTTTGGAAAAATATCAGATTTCAAGATTTTTGAGTATAAATTATTTTGATTAATTTATTAATTCCGAAAACATAATATGACATTAGAAACAAAGTAGGATTCTTGTAAATATAATCTTCATGATTTTGAGAACACATATCTTGAATTTAATTGTTTTAACTCAAAGCCTTGCAAGAATCCCACTAATTTTTTATTGTTACCACAATTTATATATGTAAATATAGAATTATAGTGATTGTGTATTTGTCAAGAAAAGTTTTAATAATTTTTTAAACGCCTATTTTTAAAAATAATCAGATTTCACTATGTTCGAGTATATAGATATGTTTTTTTTCTTTATTAGTCAATGATTGTAAGAGAATGTTTATTTCGAAATTATAAATTTTTAAATCAATTTTATTGCAAGAGTTACATTAATTTGGGATTGCTCTTCCCCCCACAACTAATAAATGAAATATATTATATTTTATAAATATTACATTTTGTAATTGGTTACATAATTATGGATTTAATAAATTTATAAAATTAATATAAATTTTGAATTGTCATTTTCTTAAAAAAATCGTGCATAAGTACAATTTGTAAGATAAAAATTGATAATTAACAAATATTGGTAAGATAAAATTTGTTTGACACATTCTGATTTATTTTCCCNAAAAACAAAAAAAAAAAAAATCTCTATCATCCTCAATATAAAATTTCAGTAACACTACTAGCCACAACATAAAGCACAACACGAACTCCCAATCTCAAAACCTCAATCACTCAATTAATGCTCCAAATTAGGCATTTTCATCTTCTCGAATCATTCTACAATTTATTATTAAAGGAAGAGAGACAGACCAAACAGTATCAGATGGCATTGAGAACCTTCAAGGCTACATCCTCAACATACATGGCGTACCTCTTCGATCGAACCCCCAAGCCCGCCGTCTTGTCGCTCAAATCGAGCTGGCACCCAATCGCCCGAGTGAATCGTCCATTGCCGTCGGTCAGCAGAAGCACCTCGTCCCCGATCTTCAGATCCGCCTTCCACGCCTTCATCACGAAGGCGTTGTTCACGGAAACACACACGATGGCGTCGATTCCCTTGGCCTTGAACTCGACAGCTTTCTCCACGAACCCCGGGAGATGCTTCTGCAAGCAGGTGGGGGTGAACGCGTCAGGGAAGGCGAGGATGATGACCTTCTTGCCGGAGGTTAGATCAGATATCGATACTGTCTTCGTTTATGAAGGTTTGAGAATTGAGGTGGAGAATATTTCATGAGAAAGAAGGAATAAAAAAGAGGGCGATGGGAAAGAGAAAGAGGAGAAAAAAGATATTCTGTATTTGTCAAAGATAATAATGTTATTATATGGAATGGAAAATAAGGAATGTATCCCAATAAAATCTGATCTGAATGTTATATACGATTTTTTCTTTAAATATTTGAATCGAATTTTATTTCCAAAAAATTCAAAAACGTATTTAGCGGCATAAAAATCGGATTTGGCAAATCAAAAGGAAGTGGAGTTTATCCGATATGTAAGAGATCTCATCCAAAATAATGAAAACATGCATGTAAAAAATTCAAATAAAATTTTAGGGGAAAAAACACTATTCAAGCGGGAAAACGAAATGATTTTTTTCAGATTGTTCAAATAATTTTTCTTCTCCGTTATATAGTAATAGATGATATTTACTTGAAATAGTAACTAAAAATCAATAGAATATATTTAATTTCCCGCCTAAAAATTCAAATTACTAAATTGAGTAATTTTTTTACCAAAATTTGAAAAATCCTGCTTAGATTAATTTTATTAATGTACATAATCATTTTGGTCAAATATTACGGCTATTACCATTATTAATTGCATGATTTAAATTTGGAATATAATATATTGACAAAACTTGCAACTATTATCTTTATTAGTTGCCTGATTTAAATTTTGTAGCTGCTGATCTTGAGGTTGGGAGGCAGGTCAGGTATATAATATATTAAAAATAAAATAAAACGAAATAGTTTAATTTATTTATAGTTTAAACTCAATAACTTACGGGCCAATATCAATTTGGACGAAAACAAAATAGTCAATTATTTATAATTTAATAAATTACTCAACTACTTAATTTTTTTATTTAAATAGTTTATACAAAAATAAATTATTTTAAGTCATGAAACAATTTAAAATTTATATTTATACTTATTATTCACATAGGTTGTTAAATATATGATAAAATTTTACCAAAACAACTATTTTATATAATCACATTATAGTCAAATCGAATTTCTGAATAAAATTTTTGAAATGACACTTATTTTGAAATAAATATAATGTAAGTTATTATCAGTTATGTGCATAGCACGGGTTGTGCACTAATTTTAAATAGATATTTTTATGTAATTATGCACAATTTAAACTTTATATAACATTTTCAATAAATTAATATATGTAAATTATATTACATATTGATTCCATATTTTTAATTTATAAATATTATTTAATAAGAATTTTTAACTTATAAATATTAATATATATCTCTTACACGTGCACTGCACGAGACTCATACTAGTTAAAATTGATTAGCAAGTCAATTATCAATACAAAATTTTTGCACGTTTACGTGGAAATTTTGCAGTTGATTCACACGCACATAATTCTACACGCGCACAAATATATACATATGATTCATAGATTACTCAATTGTTAATAGAACATAAAGTGTTTTAAATAATTTTACTCTTGAAATCCAAACAACAATATTCTAATATAGTTTTTCTTTCGCATTTCTTTGTTCTCTTTCACTTATATGCTATTAATTTAAAGTAATATAATTTGTATGAGTTAGCTTTTTGTTGTAACAATTTTGATTTACCGGCATGTTTAGATTTATTTGTCTACTGATGTTTGATGTTTGATTTTCACACTTATTCACCATCAAGTTTAATGATTATTTGATACTCCCTCTTATTTTTATTATTTGTCATCCTAGCTTAATTGATCATTTGTTAAATAAATGTCGTTTTGACTATTTTGTACATATTTTTTCATTATTACCCTAATCTAACTAATAAATACACTACGTCTTTTTATATTCACTCTCCATCTTTTCTCAAAACATCAATCTCTATCCTCATTAATGAGGATAATTATTGGCAAAAAAAATATTCTTAATTATTGTGCAACTTCTCAAAACGACATTTATTAAAAAAAGAAGAGAGTAACTAACAATATATCAATAATAAATTGGGCTACAACTTTTATGTAAAAAAAAAGTTAATTTAATAGATGTGTCTTTTTTTTCCTCAAATAATCAACACTTGCACGAAAATAGTTAGACCCATTAATGAGTTCTTGTATTTCTCATAGTAATATTTATTAATTATTGAGTGTTCATATTTGAGAAAAACAATTTATGGAAGGCAATACAATATCCAACAAATTTTCATTTATTCATAGTATAGAAAATTGAGTGGAACAATTTATTGCAAACATTAAATGCAAAATGAGCGGGAAAAGAAAACAACTCCTAAACCAGCTGCTTTGCTTTTATATATATATATATATAGATTTTGAGATGCATGGTGTGAAGAAAGCAAATAAAAATATTTTGTCTCCAATGGTTTATATCAATTGTGGAATAATTTGACACGTGTGAGATAATAATTGGTTGTTGAAGAGAAAAATATAAAATAAATAATATAATATAAGATAGAAGATGTCTAGAAATCTTTTTGCATCTAGAAAGACTTCTACATTTTTGAAATGCCACATTGAATTTTTTAGGCTACGTGACAATGGAATAGAGCAATCCTGGTGCTCAAGAATGCTAAGGAGCCAACAGTTGGCTCCGTTATGGAGCCAACATTCAATGGGATAGCTCCATGTGGGGCTGTCCCACATGGGTTCCCATGTGGGACAGCCCCACATGAAGCTATCTCATTGGATATTGGCTCCTTAATATTACTTATTATTATTGAACAAATGATATTATTATCAAACAATGGAACTAGCGTTTGGGATGATGATATCACTTCCTCAAACAAACGAGTTTGAAGATTTTGTATGCACATTAGTTAATGTACCTAACAAAAACCGGCTTCGAGAGAATGTCCATGAATAGTTTACTATGAAATTGACTTACTATAAGTTAATCTTTCGTATGTAAGAGCAACTCCAACCGTACCTCAAACCCAAACGCATCACCAAAAAATCCTCCAACCGGTACCAAAACGCAAACCCAAAATGGGTTTGGGTCCATTTCTCTCTCCTCCCAACTGCATATTTGCGATTCTATTGTTCACATACACAAATTTTTTTTATTTGTGTTTTGGCCCTTCTATTTTTAAAAATTAAGTTTTAGTTTATTTATCAAAATTTATGGTTTGTCTATAAGTTGTTATTTTTATATATAAAAAAATTAATATAAGTATGTAAAAATTCATTAATAAATTTCATAAAAATTAGATAGTATAATATTTTAAAAATATTATATTTGTCATTTAATTTTATATATTTCACAATAATAGTGTAAAATATACATATTATTTATGGTATTTTTAATATTATATTGTGTGTTGTAATTTTTAAATTTTAATTTTTAATGACAATTTATTTCTCTGATTTTATTATATATATGATTATTTCTTTATAATTAATTTATTACATAAAGTCCAAATTGAATTGAAAATAATAGTGTGGTTTAATCTGTAAAGTTGTAAAATATGTGGATAGTATTGAAAAGTTGTAAAAGTTGATATAGAAGAGAATATTCTTTTAGATTGAAGAATGAGTTTTTCGGTTGGAGATGAATTACTGCAAAATGGATTTGAGTTTGAAATATTCAATTGGAGATGGCCTAAC